TTGGAGCTCCTGCCCCCCCCCCCCTATGAGCCCACTATGCTCTGATGTGTGTTTATGTGTTACAATGGCTTTTGTTAGCAACCAGAAAATGACACCAGCAATGACAAACAGATGAGAATGCTGGGTGGGGTCTGGGTGCCGTGTTGGCGGGACGTTGCGGGGCTCGCTGCTGCGAGGAGCGGACAGTGTGAGCTAGCTTACTGGTGTTGTTTCCTGGCTGCTGCGTGGGGTCTGCGAGACAGCGAGACACAGCGAGACACAGCGAAACCCAGCCCGAGCACACACATACACCCGCAGCCTGGCTGTGAGTCTGTGTTTGCACACACACACACACCCGCAGCCGCCGTCTCAGGCTGAGAAATCCGCAGAGCTGCAGCCGAGAAAAGATTGAGTGTGTATGTGTGAAGAAGTCCGCCGATTGGTCCAAACGTAACGGCTCCACGCACGTAACGTAACTATACCCGATACGTTTTACTCGCTTCAGGGTGTACTTTGAGGGTTTGTGACTCTGCAGACAGTTTACATGCAGAAAAAGCTACGTAACACACAAGGGGACAGGTTATAACCAGAAAAACATGAAATGGGACCTTTAAGATAAAGACAGGGTAACAAGAAGGATGCTGGAAATGTAGATCTTTGAAGGTCCTGACTGGAAAAGTAGCAACATCAGCACAAAAATACGATCTAAAAATCGCCAGTTAAGTTAACCTGACAGTTTATAAACATAACCTTAACCTATTGTTAAGTGAAGATAGGGGTACTACTGAAGATCGGGTTCAGACCTCAGGTGGAAACTGGAAGTCTTTAGTTTTGCCACCAAATAATAAGAAATTAGGATCAGATTGAGGCAGACAGAGAAAAGCAAGCAGCAGTTGAACCAACCAGGGCAGAGGCCACCTGTCCTGCCATGGTGAAGATCTTCTTCTCCGTCATTTCACATGAAGACTCTGAACCCGAGTTGCCCTTCAGTGAGAGAGTAGGCAGAGGAAAAAAGGGAAAACATGTCAATGTTAATTGTCTGTGTCCTTATGGTTGGATTTTGAGTCAGACTATCATACCTGTCTTTTATGTGATATTTCTTACCTTTTTTTCTATCTGTGTTCATGATGAGGTTAATAAGCATAATGGGCTTATATTACAGTGTTTTTAGAATTAGGGTAACAAACTGTACCTGTCAATATCAAGTAACTATTTTTTGGGGGGGTGGGTAATGGATATTTTTTCCACTTTCCATTGAACAGAAACCTCCCTTTGTCTTCCTGCCCCTTTAGATTGTCAGAGTGTTCATCACCAGTCTGCAATTTAATGGTGTGGTAATTACCGGTAATAGGAGTATGTACCTGTTGTCGACATTTCCACAGGTACCCCAACAGGTCTCTGTGCTGCAGCTCCTCCACAACCATCATCAGGGGCGGCTGCACTGAGACTACACCCAGCAGCTCAGGTAGGAAGGGGTGAGGCCCGAGTCCTGACACGAAGGCAGCAAATCCCAAAAATTCCTGCTTTTCACGGCCGTTTGCTGTCTCTGAGAAACAGGTAAGAAAAGAGAGACTAGTTCCCATCCATCTTTTTACAGTGCAGCACAAAGAGGAACCAAATTAGGTTAATTGGTTCTGCAGCAAAACAGAATGAACATAAGGTGCCAATTACAAAATAATAACCAGGCACAGAACTAAATGCAGCAACCAAACAAACGCAATAACAAATAAGTAGTTAAAATACATAGTAATAAATTGACACATAAAAACAGTGTCTACTCTTTTTTTAAGTACAGGTAATGAAATACGTTAAACATATTTAAGTGATATTATAAACCCTTAAAGCAGTTTTGGGGTCCATGAGGATAATTATGTAGTAAGGTGCAAGTTAGAGGAAGTGACATGCGTCTGTGTGTGTTTATGACTATAGAGAGTGGGGTGACGATGGGGGGGAATGGTTCATCGCTTGTTGTTATGACAACCGTTAAACATGTAAACAGACTTACTTTTAATTTGAACCTGGGAAGTTTCATTGAAGACTATACTCACAATTAATGTATTGCATATTTAGTTTACACCTCATAATGTCTTCAACTGTAAATGGTTAGTTTCATCATGATTTTTTGTGATTTAACATGGAAAGTAACATTTGATGTCCTTGAGGTTTTTTTAACCTTGGTATTTCTGAGGAATGACTGGAACAAATACATGATCTTGACTTCTTCAGCCGACATGCAGTCAGCAGTAGAGCCTCTTTCTGAGGTTAGTCTCTTTCTACCTTTTAGCATCCTCAGGATGACATCTCTGTTGTCCTTGCGGGCTCTGTAGAGGATGTATGTGTTGTTAGATGTGACGGGGAAGGACGGTTGCAGCGCGGTCATCTGGCTGAAGGCTCCTCTTTGCCTCTCTGTGGACATCGGGGGTACTGCAGCCAGAGTTGGTCTGACATTCTGTTGCACTTGTTGAACTGACATTGGCAGCTCTTCATGTTCCAGTGGGTTAATCCCCGGGGGTGCTATTGAGGGAGAGAGACATGCAGAGCAGAGCAGAATTATACATGGGAGTCTAGTTCTCGTGGAGTTACACTGAAACCAAGTAAAATAAGAATGACGCAGAATCTTATGCATGATTGCTCACCATCAATGCCCTGTAGGTGATTTCTGTGGCTGTGCCTCTGCTTGTGCGATGCGCTGTGGTAGCGTGGAGCGGAAGTGGTCTTTGGCCCCTTCCTTTCAGGACAATACCTCAGGCAGCAAATAGCCAAGAAGCCCACCAGGGTGCTCAGGAGGAGCAGAGTAGGGACGATGATCACTGCCTGCAAATGCTCCCTTACAACTGAGAGAGAAATTGATGTGTAAATGTCAGGGAACAGGAGGAGGCCATTTCCTTTCAGACGTATAGTGCTGGGCTTCTTGTCGACTTGGTCTGATTTGGTAGAATGTCCCACAGCAGGAATGTCCTAATTCATAGTTTCTTATATTAAAGTTAGGACAGCACTCACAGCTCTTAAGTCCTCAACGCTCTTTTTTTATTTTGTGCGCCAATGTTTAAATGCAAACAATATTCAATTACACTGTGAGGTGGTTTGTGCAGGTTTGGTTTCAGTGTTCTGCTTAGGGTACTATGACGAGACCAATATTTTGCCTGTAAAAAATATTGCACCCCCCCAAAGTGTTGACAGGATGTTCTATAAGAACATTACATCATCCACCATTAACACCGTTGACGTGTTGATTTATAGCTAGATACAACTGTGATTTCACAAGGCACATCAGTATTTGAAAGAAACACCTTCATTTTTCATTTGTATTTAAAATATATGGTTATTGTATTTATTGGCTGAACATCTGTATCAGCCGATAGTCACTTTGTTGACTGCCACGGGCTCTCAGCAGAAAAGATGCTCTGATCTGACATCTTGCATGCAACACGGCTAGGATACAGTAGGTAGTTGCATAGCAAGCTAAACATGCCTTTTAAACATGTTACATTAAATTCATTTACTTTTTCTTGTCGAAGAATGCTATGTTAAAGATTGCTTCCTACATTTGTGCGATGGAATTTGTCATTCAAAGATAGTCTAATGAAGTGCTGAATGAGTTTAAAACTGTTATTTTGTATATTATTGTAAATATAACAACACAAAATAAAGACATTGGTATCGTTAAAGGTAATGTAGGTAAGAATGGAGAAACCAGCTCGAGTGCGCTCGAATTTGAAAGTACGCAGCCGAAAACAATCTGCCCCTTCCTTCAGACTTCCTTACAGAGCCCCTCCTCCAACACACACGAACGCGCACATGACCAATGAGGGCACGAGATAAGTTTGTGCACAGATGGAAGGCTGACAGGCAGGTAGGCCATCCAGTTATTTTAGCCGGGCCGGCTAAAATGATTTGTCGTGCTTTTTACAGTGAAAGGCTTCCACAGATGAAATGTATATATTTATTGTCAAAGCATTTAATATATTTATTGCTACCGGGATGTTAAGAGCATTCCATGGAATATAACAAAAAGTGTTTCTGAAGTGAATGACCTACCCCACCTTTAAGCGCCCAAAGTCCTTAGTTTATTGCAAGGGTAAAAGCTATGCAACAAAAATAAGACAATTAACTTTAAAATTGTGTGATGAGAATAATTTAGATATACAGGTATGTCAATCATATATCGATCAGTTTCCAGATATTCTCCCTCTTCAGTTTTAGATGAATCACATATTTAGACACAGAGCTAGCTCTTTACTACGGTTTTATTTTAGTATTATTCTCTTTTTTTTCTTTGATCGTGGAATGCATTTTTCTTTTGTGGAATGCATTTTTCACAATTGTGAGTCATCGTCATGCTTTTGCATTGCTGACTAGCTCTGCCTTACTTTGTTGATAATAACGTCCTGCTGTATTGTTGCTGCATTACCAACAACTCAATAAGACTGCACTATCCAGTGGGACTGGCTCAGGTGGCTCATTCATTGACATTCAGAGAATAAGACATTTGACCTTTCTCTTTGGATAACTGGTTAAACAAGGTTAATTAGTATTGCATTATACTTCTTCACTGGACTTTTTTGCGTTTTAGCCGTAGCAGGAGCCATTCGATCCATCATCCAACACTCCTGAATCCAGTGTTGTTCAAGAAGAATCTGGAATGTAAGCATCATGTTCTGGTTGAGCCACATTATTATGGTTGACAAGCATTTCTTGTCATTCTCATAAAAGACTGAAACTTGAAGACTCAATACTAGTCCAACATTGTAGTCTGTTTAGACTCAATATTAACCTTGTTTAACAAAGACATGTGCCATTGCCATTCTATTTAAAAATAAAAAGTTATTTCCTGTTAACACACAACTTAACAGACACCTCTTACTGTTGAAAGGTTATATAACGTAGTTGATTGTGTAATCTTAAAGCCTTCCCGATTCTCTGCCTGTGAGGCAGCTGTTTTACTCCAACTGATTGTGCAATCCCATATCACCTGGAACCTCTGTATTTCATGCAGCCTTATCTAAAGGCTGGATGTTGCAACATCATTGTAGAAATCAGCAGACATTTTCATAGTTAAATAAATACAGAACTAATGAGACTCTTTATAGTTGTTAAATACCAATACATTATCACATTTGAAGAGTGCAATTTTGTGCTTTTTATTTTTTGTTTACCAGGACAAAACCTGCAACTGTGGTTTCCATGTCAAAATGACCTCTACAGATACATTCATCGTTCCTCTGATGTACTCTGTGTAATGCCAAATGGCTGTTGTTTACTTTAATGAAAATACAAAATAGCCAGATAACTAAAAACGTCATATTATATAAATATGTATGTTATTGGTGGAGCTAGTCAGTGTCATATATTTGCTTTAGTGTAGCAATGGTGGTCGCTGAGCATCGGCCATTATTTTGATCATGCCGGCACTACACAAAGGTAAGAGTTTGAGTATGTGATGGAGGCGGCCTGACACAAATGTGTTGAAAGAAAAAAACAAATGGGGCTTTTCATTTGAAGTTGTGTAAATGTAGTTAAACTACTCTTTTTAGTATTTGTGGTTCACTTCTCCCTAACACCGTGGATAACCCAAGCGCAATACAAGACAATCAACTTGAATTGGCAAGATCAAAAGTTCTCCAGGTTAAGCAAGAGCGAATCCTCTAGATTTAGTTTAATTCCCCAGCTTAAATGTAAGATTAGGAAAGCCACCCTGGCAGTTGTTAAATTGAGCTTGATGACAGGAAAATGGTTTGCTTTGAGGTATATCTAGCTGCTAAATACTGGAATATGGGTGTGTCGCAGGTTTGCAGAAAGGTGGAATAATTTAAAGAGGGCAAGATAATTGAAGAATAAGCAAGATGAGAAACACAAGACAAAGTGTAGGTGATGATGATGAGAGAGAGAGAGAGGGGAAGAGTGGCAGTCCTTACTACAGAGGTGGTCATCCGGTGCACACAGATTATCGGCCGTGGAGTTGAGTGACATGCTGGAGGGCAAAGAGGAACATATAAGATCAACATTACTATCAGTTGGAGGAAGAGATCAACATTACCTCTGCTCAGCAGCCAGTCTAAATCCTCTAAGTTCAGATACAGGGAGCAGCATCTGCCTCTAAGAACTCTATATACAGCTGTAGCTGGTCAAAGTTGCTGGTTCAGATTTTAGCTTTGCTTTAAGTACTATCAGTAAAGTTCTGTAAACAGCATACGCCCAGGACTTTCTTTTTTTAATCTCTTCTTACATTACAAATATTAACAGTGAACTCTTTTTTTATCTGGACTCTCACAGCACATATCAGAAGCAATGTTTGACAGCTTGTTTTCTATGTGTATAGTCAACCAGCTATAAGTTACACAGATAATAGAGGAGTAGAGATCAGCATTACCATCGCTCAGCACTGACCCAAAATCCATAAAAGCCTTGAAAGGATAACCTGGCATTAGGAAGCCCATTAAACTTCTCAAGTCACAGACATGATATACCAGCTTTATTTGATCTTAACATTTCCCTAGAACTGTTAAAGTCTTGCATCAGGAGGGTTATTTTTACCACACATTAAATTGTGATTTTGGGTTGAACATTTGCATAGTATTGATTACTCCTGGTGTAGGATCTTCTCTTTATTCTTGGTCCAATTCTAAAAAAGGCAGCAATGAGGCATTGGTCTAGTTACTACACAAATCTTCACGTGACAGTCACCAGCTTAAAGGGACATAAGTTGTCCTGTTTTCTCTCCGTTTGTTCTTGTGGAATAATGTGAATGATCAGTGCTTGCCAATAAACCAGCTACCTTGTGTTTTCAACTATTATCACCATGGACTGAATTAGAGTATACAGTCGGAAGGGAATAATAAAACTGAAAGGCTCCTAATGTAATTGCCGTTGTTGCTGACCTGGTCAAAGTCTAGACACTTCTCTATGCAGGACATCTTCTGATACTGTGCTCTTAGTGTTATCATTTTTCTGTCAAGCAAACTGCCATTTGTGGAAAGGTGCAATACAAATAAACATGCCTTGCCTTGCCTAGGTTTCACATCAATTATCCTTTAAAAGCAAACATTATTCGTCATCTCCATTGTGGGGCGTCACAAGTCAGTGAAAAAGCACAATAATACATAGACAATATCCATAAAGCAAACTAAGTGGCAGAACACAATATGCCTACGTTTTTTCAAACACGCACCTTTTACACGACAGCTCATAAATGATAAAGCACACAGCTGCTTCCAGTATGCCCTGGAAACCACTTTGTGCAAGTGAGGCACCTTGTTTGTTTAACAAATGTTGACAATAGTGTGGTCTGTCAGCCTGGAATAACTTTCATGCCTGAGATTGATTTACAGCAGTATCATGCCAACAGTAATGCTACAGGTATCTGAGTCCCGAACACAACCTGAAATCAACATAGTACACACCATGTACTTAAGAAGTCCTAGTTCACAGTGCAACAGAAGTTAGGCCAAACTAACAGCTATTTAGCCTGTTAATTGTACACATGTTATCAATGTTGGCACATATCAAAGGGATGGGCTGCATCAAGTAAGAACAAAAAGTTGTTCAAAACAAATAAAGAAAAGGCTGCCTCCTCATTAAAACAGTTTGCTTTCTTAAAATGTTAGCTATTTAAGAACTATGTAATATAAAACAATTAGTACATAGGTGTTTGGAAATTAAACCATGTTGAAACCGTTTTTTCTGCAAATGTATGATGTTTTTATTTAACAGTGACTTCTTAAAGGTCAATGTTTCCTTACCTAACACACTTCAGGGTTATTGGTTTGCTAGCCTCTGTTGATATTGCTTTAAATGTAGTTTCTGTCAATTCAATACAATTAAGCACTAAGTGTACATTTGCTCCTTACCTGACATATCTTTATGCTGGCAAAGGTTTATTGGAAATGTGTCTATGAGCAGCTTGTATGTTGGAGAAATGTTCTCATGCCTTCCTTGTCCTTCTCATTTTCATCTCAAACCACTGGCCGTTGTTGTGTTGTAAGGGTTCTATCATTAGAGTGAAGACACTTTACAGTACAGGTGTGTTTCTTTTGTGTGTTAACAATGCAGCGTCATCCTCACCTCATCATCTCATCAGAGCGTGGAAAGGTCTTGTTATAGAGTGCGCTGTGTGAACAAAACACACTCCCTTACGAGGTCACACTGGTTTGAAGTAGGCCATTGCTAAGGGATGACTTACTGTAAAGAGAATGGATGTCACTAAACCAGTTTGTCCACATTGTTCTTCCACATTCATATGCGCCAATACCACTCCTGAAGGCTGGCCATGTCCCCACACACACACACACACGCACGCACACGCACGCACGCACACACACACACACACACACACACACACACACACAGACATGTGTTTATCCACACAACTACAAAATGGGGGTCAAAACCCACTAAATGTGTAAAGATGAACGTATGACTTAGGAAGTTAGAAAGTAGTACCATATACTCACACATACAGTATGCCTTGATGTGTACATATGTACACACAAAATAATGCAACAGAATTGACACAAGCGCATATTGTGATACAAACTTTCATATTTTGTCCCAAGTTAGATTTGAGCTGGAAAGTGAGTTTCAGTCACAGTATATCATTTGCCCAAATAGTTGTTTGTAAAAAATGTTTCTCTTACCTGGCCAACTTTCTACGACTGTTCAGGTGTCTGTGTGCTCCTCCAAACCAAAACATGCAGTCTGCTGACCCTGTGTAGAGTTGTATTCAAGTCCATCCTCTCAGTTGTCATGTTATCATAGTTGGTGTGCAGTTGAGAGTGATATCCACAGGAAGACACATTTCTAGGGTAGATACTGTGAAAGTTAGTTTCTATTTTGCTGTCACCAGTCAGGTGTGTTTTCTGTCGCGTTTGTTTTTCTTTTCTCTCTCTGTGACTCTCTCTCTCAGGTTGGCCACACCCACCCCTTCAACACTTTGTACATGCTTCTCCTTATCACCTGAACACACCTTGATTTCAGTTTTATATTTGCTATGTATGTGCACGATTGTCTGTCATAGTTGATGTGTGTCGAGTTTCCAGACATAAATCAATACATTTGTCAACTTGTTTATTACTACTGTAGGCAGAAAGGCAACATGATGTATTTTCTGACGCCCATCATGTGTTTACTTTAAATGGTCAAGGAAAAATACAAAAAATAACTATATCTATATAATAATAATACATATTATTTATATAGCACTTTTCCTGGTGCTCAAAGCCCAATATAATACATCACTGAAGCAGTCTGAAACGGTTTGAAACATTTCAGTAAGTGTTGGCTTTGCCCCATGGCCACGAAGAAGGAGAATTTCCCTAAAGTGAAAAAGCAAACATTTTAAGAAAACCGCAAAACTTTTGTTAGACTTGTCAGTTTGCGTATATTGCCTTTTCTCAGTGTGGAACAATTTAGACATTTTCACAAGCTCCAAAATAAGAGATATAGAAGTTGACGTTTATGTGCATCTACTCATATTAAACGATTAAAGCGTATTCAAAAAATGCCTTTGTCCTTCCTCAAAGAGGTTTGGTGACTTGTCGAGACATTCAAGATAAACGCTAGTAGATAAAATAAGATAAATGAGTATTTAAAGCTTCTATTGTATGGTAACAGCGCGATCATTTTTATTTACTTTGTTCATGCTGGCAAGATATAAAAGAAACGGACTCCGATGCTCTTATCACTTTTATTTGAGCCAAAGGCGTGACACTGGCTTGCATGCATGTGTGTAATTTGTATTTTTCACGTGCTGCATCACCCTTCACCCTCTTCCCTTTGTAAAGTCAAGCTGCTGACACACCCAAACTCTGACATCATTTTGTCAGGTTTCAACATAGCCATTGATCTCTATCCACCCGGAACTAAAATGTTTCACAAGTTTAATGGACTCTCATTTACTGTTCCGTGTGTTTCCACAAATGTAATAGCCAGGGTTTGTTTGTTAGCCATTTGTCTAATTGCATGTTCATTTAGACAGACACTGATACAGACTGTTACATTTATTGGGTTGAAAGCTTTTGCCTTTAATTCTGTTGGTTTGTACATGTTATAGCTATGTTGATGTTGTTTGTTTTTGTCTTTTCACTTGCAAGCAGGATGTTAACTAAAAGGAAACAGAATAAAGACATGTTTACTGTCCCCAACCCATTTCAACACAGCAGAGCAGCCGGTAGGAGTTGCTAGTGCAACAACAAATAAGCCCTTGCTTAGTACACAAAAACAGTGTTTTTGTGTTTGATGGAGCTCAGTCTCATCTAAAGCTGTGCTGCCATGGATTGACTCCTGTCATTTCAATAGTAGTTTATACCCAGTGTCCCTTAAGAAGTTCAGCAAATAGTATTTTGGACAGTATTCGGATTCACTTCAGCATTTATTTTTCTGCTTACTTTACTTCACAGAGGTGAGCAGTGAGCTTGGGGCATGTAGGGGGAACCCCTGCTGGAGCTAGTTTCCACCATGTCAGAATGCGTGAGAGAGTGAGAGTGTGTTTCTGTGGGGGTCCATGCGTGTGTATGTCTATCCCGGTGTCGTCCTGCAGCATGTGTGTGTGTGTGTCTATGTGTGTGTGTTGGAGTGTCCTGGCTGGGTGTCCAGCTCGTCCTGGTAATGCTGAGACAGACGGTGAGCGGGTGGGTTTATTTTTGGGTCAGTGACAGTGTCAATGGCCGCAGATGCGTCGGAAAGGAAGGCTCTGAGATACAAGCAAACCCTGGTCAGTGTCCCTCTGTCATTCCTTTAAGTGCTACTTTTTCTCTCTGTTGCTCTTTCTGTCTTTTTATGTCCATCTGTTCATCTCCACTGTCACGCTTAGTTCTCTCTGTTATGTGACCACAGTCTCCTTCCCTGAATCCCCCGTGTCGTTCTTGCATGACGCACCTGTTTTGGTAGTGCAACCTTTACGTATGTGCATGGATGGAGCCTCTTTCTCTTATTGTGTGTGAGCCTGTAAAATATTCAGTTCAGTGTTTGGGAGCTGTAGACAGGCGGACGACCAATTAGCTGATGTATAACAACAGGGTCACACACATGGTCACACAACAGGTGCTTAAAAACTGTGCACCTCCTTCACCCCTGAACTTGGCACACACACACACACACACACACACACACACACACACACACACACACACACACACACACACACACACACACACACACACTATGTTGCTGTTTCCTTCTTTCCTGGCCCGCCACCTGTTTGCTAACCTTTGTGTGCCTCGGTTCTTAAGCCCTGGTTGGTCTTAACACATCTAGGCCTTTCTTCTGTGCTATGTGCAACACAATATGTTAATATTTTGTGTGTACAGTTTCCTTCCATGTACATCTGTGTCCATGTACACTGCATGTGCTTTAATGTCTTTGCATGTTTGCTTTTGTGTCTATGGCCCAGTGTGTGTGGTATGGTGTGTGTTAGGTGTTCTGATCTTGTGTGTTCCAAAAAAGGGAAACCTGATCACACTTTGCAGTGGTGTTAATCTTCTCCTGTCACATAGTAACATGTATGTTTTTGGACAAGATGGTGTGAAGGTTGTGTCAGAACATCTGGAGGATTGTCATCATGGGATGTTCTGTTATTAGAACAAAATTGTGAAAAAGTGAAAGAAAATGAAATGAAAACTGAATCACACTCCAGATTAGCCAGCGACATTTATTTGTACAGAAATGTGTCTTTTTTGTTTGTTTTCAATACTCTGAACACAATACAAATATGGTAAAAGGCAATAATAGAGCTCTGATTATATGCGTAGTGTAAAAGGCCTCCCCAATACAAATGTGTTGTGAATGATAATCATCATCATCATCATGTTGATTGACTGGCATGTGAGGGCTGGTGGTCATGGTCACCACTAGTGTTAATTGGTTGTTGAAACCCTATGCCTATGGGCAGTCCAGGATGTGCGAAGTCATTTAACCTGTGTCTGTGTGCGTCAGTGGGTCTTTGAAGACCGTGTTGGATGGGGAAAGCCTTTTGTTTGATGCTATCGCCCTTGGGAGCAGAGATTAAAACAGGAATTTTGTGTCACTTATTTTTATTTATTTTTATTTTGAGTGCATCGCCCAGAGCTGTGTGATGGGCTTACATTAAACGAAAATGAGGTAAAGGTCAAACTCTGCCAGTAAAGTTAGCATATCAGATGTCTACAGCTACAGAGGGTTGGCAGTCATGTTTAGAATGTATGGAGTTAAACACTTCTCTATTTAAAAAGATCTACATATGCATTACGTTTGACTACAAATGACAAAATGCATTAACCTTCAGCTGTGCACATGTAGCTACACACCGATATATGTACACTGAACAAAAATATAAATGCAACACTTTTGTTTTTGCTCCCATTTTTCATGAGATGAACTCAAAGATCTAAAACATTTTCTATATACACAAAATAACCATTTCTTTCAAATATTGTTCACAAATCTGAAAAAATCTGTGATAGTGAGCACTTCTCCTTTGCCGAGATAATCCATCCCACCTCACAGGTGTGGCATATCAAGATGCTAATTAGACAGCATGATTATTGCACAGGTGTGCCTTAGGCTGGCCACAATAAAAGGCACTCTGAAACGTGCCAGTTTTGGCTTTATTGGGGGGGTCTGGAGGGGGGGCCGAAAAACCAGTAGGCCTTTTGCTATATTTCCACATTTGTGTGATCTCCTTTCAGTCCGACTTTAGCGTGGGCCTACC